TTAAGGTAAGTAAAGTTAGTATAGCTATAGTAAAAATTATATATAGAGATAGGTTAACGTATTATATTATAGTAAAGTTAAAATATAAAATTTTTTACTAAGAGGGAGCTTATATAATAGGCTAGGCCTAGTAGAACCTTAGTAAGTAAAGCCTTAGAGCTTAACTACTCTAACTACTAATACCTACTAGAAACAGCTAGTATACTACTAGAAGAACTATAAGTAGAGAAAAACTAGTACTATAGATTCTTAGTAAATTTATCTAATTTATACTAGTAACTACCCTTAGAGTTAGCTTCTTATAATATTAACTTAGAAAAAGTTATAAGTTAGTAAAAATAAGATTATATTTACTTACTAAAATACTTATCTACTAAAACTCTTATAGATATACTACTATATATATATATATTCTACTTAATTCTTATTATTTAATTTTATAACTAATTACCTCCTTCTAATCTAAGATTCTAGTATTTATTAATTTTAGTTCTCTATTTCTAACTTATACAGCGCTACTTCTTCTAGAAGTTCTAAGGTAACTATGTTATTCTGTATAGAAAAGAATTAATAATTTATAGAATATAACTATAGACTTCTAGATATTATTACGTAAGAAAGATAGGGAAAAGTATATCTATAAGCTTTTAGTAACAACAACCCTTGGTATTAATAACTTAATTGTATTTAAATTCTGTAGTTTTTTACTATCTGTTATAAGGAATATTAAACTGCCTGCTGTTTTAGTAAAGCTTGCGCCCTTTCTTTTTACCTGGCTAGAAGTTCTTTCCTGTTTACGTGTACTTTCTTTGTTGTCTGGGTTCTATCCTGCGTACATTAAATCTGCTGCTAAAATCTTAATGCTCTACTTACGTACTTCTCTGTGCGTGCAAAATAGAGCTAAAACGTGCGTTGCAGAAGTTGTTGTAGCTAGAGGTAGGTTAACGTTAAAGTCGACGCCGAGATTGAGTTATGTACGTCGAACTTCGCAAAAATATAACACAAGGTCTGTTACTATCATTAGGCTATTACTGTGCTGGCTTTCTTCATTTGCCCCTCACCTCGCTACTCCTATGCCCATAATAACAGCCCAGTCTAATCTCTACTTGAATTGTCACAGCATGCAATATAAGCCATATTCCATCTTCAAGAGCCTGAGCAAGGCAAATATTCTGATGAAAGATTGCGGCAGTTTAGAGAACATGGTTGTATGTACGATGTAGTTCTCAGCTGACAGGCGAAGGCTCAAGTTCGCGGTGAAACTGATCAATGTTCTTATTCGGCATGTTCTGGGTCAATTGAAAAAGCTCGTTGAACCAAGAAATGCTACGAGCTGGAAAGAGTCGAATGGTAGAAATGTTCGCCATTTCTGTGATCCCAAGGAGCCTTGAGTACAGGGCCTGGCCGTCGTGAGTGTTTTAGGTAATACAGGTCTGAGTATGTAACGACGCAGTGACCTCTGAATTGTGTCTATGTTGGCGTTCGTACCCAGAATTATTAACAAACTTGTAGACACGACCCTGTTTGTTACCGACTCATGCGTGATATTGCCCCGCTCGCACAACTAAGCTGATGTACATAGATCAATAGCTGCTGGCCAAGAAGTCTGCCCCAACCCCAGTCTCATGCACATGACCCACGACGTGTGTACTCAAGCAGTCGATTGTACAAGCTTCTAAGATAGTGAATTGCAGGTGGCTTGAGATCGACCACAATGGTCTGAACATGCAGATGGTTTGCGGGTCATGACTCGGGTAAACCTCATGGGTATATCGTTTGTGCAAGGATGTGAGGTTTTTTGATTTGGTTAACTTCCCTCACATGATGGACGTGACGGCGAGCTCCAAGAATCAATCGACGCCGTACTCCAGGAATCAACCAACGCTTGGCAGGTAGCGCATGACCAGCTGCCCATCTTATTCACCTCCATCTAATCGTAATTTGTGACCGGCGGTGGGCTACATCGCCTGCCGAACTATACACATCTGCCTATTGCTGAGCTCGTTCTCGCGCTAGGTGATGAAGATGCCTCGCTTCAGCAACGAATATAGCAGTTGTAGCTGTCCGTTGGCTGGACTGCTTGACGTCTTGTGTGCCCCTTGCGCAACTTTGGGGTTGCAGTTTCCAAATCGAGCGTCCACAAGAGACCGAGCCGACTGGAAGGGGCCCAGGCTGGAATTGTCAACCCCTAGGCTGCGAGGCAGCTTGAGCCGCAGGGAGGATTGCTGTCGAATTGTTCCGATCATCCTGCACACATGCACCAAAGTATCAACCGCCGTTTTTTTCGGCAACCATATCAGCATAGTCAAGAAGTCGATGATGTTCGTATGAGCATTGGGGGCAGGGCCGCTGAAGATCTATCGACCAGGCCCTGTATATTCTTCCGCAATGCTAGAGCGATCCATAACTACCAGCGCAACCAGAATCTCAGGTTGCAGGTCTTTATGTGACGTCTGGCCGCCTTTAAAGAGTGTTAACTCATGGACAGTCTGCGAAGAGAATGTTCCCCAGTTTTAGAGTCAATCAGAGGCCCCATCATCATAGCCCACCTTTTCTGTCCCTTTGAATAGCAGCTTGTAGTCGCACAGATCTAAGATGCGCACAGTTAATCATTTCCAAACCCACCCCCGGCTTTATCGGTGTCATGTGTCGTATTTTGCGGCCTGCTGCGTGTCGTCAGGCGAAGGCGCGAGTCCGATATCGGCAACAGTGTTCTGGGCGTATCGGGCATGGAGGGTGCGCAGGAAATTGTGTTGGGAGACGAAGTTGCCCTCTTCTCAGTGCGTCGCTCATTTTGCAGTCTAGGTGTTGCGCCATTAAATCAAAAAGGTCACGTGTTTGCCTTGATTGACGTCGTCGAAGGTATCCAGTTTCACTGCCCGGTCTGCTTGCTCGATGGACATCGTTGTCGCTATTAGTCGAGGAGTCAGAGGCTCAATCCATGCCGGTACATTTTCCTCCCTCTTACCCATAGCTTCATATCCTGAAACTCACCACCCAAACTTCAAAGTTTTTCAATGAATGTCACAACATTTTCGACTACCTCTGAGGCGAGATCAAACACGATCTCGACTGTTCCCTGCGCCTCATACATACTCTCGACAGACTGCTATATCGATGCATTATCCTACACTCTTCCTCACCTCGTCCAACGCAAGGTACAGCTGGTATCAGACTGCAGGATCAACCCCTCAGCAAGGTCTTCGGTGCGTAGATACTGTACGTTCGGAGCGGTGTTTCTCGGGGTCTCGATGGTTCTTACTCGCCGCCGATACCTCTTCACCCATACCGAAGCGCGGCAGAAAGCAGGTCAACTTGCTAAATTACAGTACATGGTGTGCCTGACTTCCGGGTTCCAAGGTCGGGCGAGCGGGTGTGATGGATCTTTTCGTAGTAAGCCATCATTCCGTCTGGAGCCTAAATGATGAGAGGGCGCCGATGCTATTTTCGAACAGCATCTCCATGACCTTCTGCCAGGTCACGCCTCAACTCACTCTGCCTCGACTGTCAGATTGTATGCATGCGATGATTCCAGCTGCGGCCAGAAAGATGCGCCGACGCTCCCTGATCTGTTCATCCTCGCTGATCCTGCGTGCGTGACCCACATGCGTGCTGCCTCGAGCGTCATTGTTCATGCCGAGACAGCATCTTGGGTCCAACTTGATCCGAATAGACACAACACAACACACTCAAAGACAGACTAGAATCGAAGAAGCAACTCTAAAAACCTCATGTGCAGACGGAATAACGGTATCAGCTTCGTTTTGTGCTATATTGACCTCGGTGTTGATGTCGCCTTTCCACGAAAGATGATGCTCTTTCTCTAGGTGCTTTCTTTGCATGCTAGGGTCATGCTGATATGGTTGAAACCGGCTTTAGCACATGAGATTTTGTCTGCCGATACTTTTGGTAACGGCTGTTCCAAACTGTGCATCGCCTTGCCTTCAGAACAGTCTTTGACTCGCGGACCTTACAGCTCGTCAAGTTTCCGGCGCCTCATGGATCCGCTGCGCCACACCATTATAACGCGCCATTTCTTCAGGTTGTGTTCGCACCAACAGTGTTGTTTGACGTTGGATGCGGCAGCATCTTTGCCAGGACTTTGACCTGCACTCTTTCCCAATTGAATGACGCTCCATTGTTGAAAAAGATTGCAGAACCGATGATCAAGTGGACTACCTGTCAATGCAGCGTTTGACCCCAGTCATTGTTAGAAGAGGTTCTCCGGACATAGGAAATTCTGCGAATATTGATCAAGACGCCTGATGATTCGTTGATAATCTGGTACCTGGAGTTGTGCGGGGTCCTCTTTCTATGACCATAAGCGAGCGACGATGATGGTTAGCAGCAGCAAGAAGCATCGCGCTATCGCGCTTCCCCTTGTTTGTTTTTCTCGGCGACGTCGAATCCGGCAGGCTGGCTGCACTGCGGACTTTGGTATCCAGGCCCTGTTCAGTATACTGTTCGGTTCAATCAGGTCTATGAAAATATCGCAGCAGTGTATTTGCGATCTCGTAGCTCGGGAAGCCGGTTGCCCGTACCGATCCACGACCTTTAGCTCCCGTCACCATCCATATCTAGTGCACGGGAAAGGAGTTTCGTAAGAAGGTAATGCATGAGGCCGATCGCCATCAATCAAACACCAAAACTTGATTAAAGCGGGAGTTTCCTGCGCCAAGCAATTCCGTTTTACTCATCCTATAACATGAGATTGACCTGCCAGGCAATCGAAGATAGTGGAGAAGAATTTACTAGTCGATTGAGATGGCGACACGGCAAGGCATACAGGCATAGACAACTTGTGCAAAGCCTGATTTGTCATAAACGTCGACGACAATGTGAGGCCTACAAATGGACAGCCTTACGGCGTCATGACGAGGTTGACTGCCCTGACCTTTCGACGCGAAATGGTTCGTCGCAGTCTCGGACAATAGAACCATCTCCCAGATTGAACAAGTCATCGCTCGAACCTCATGGACCCGCGCTCGATGAGAGCCCTCCTATCGACGCAGGCAGTGTTCAGGCTTGAACCCAGCAAGTCGTGGATGAGGGAGGCCAGATGAGGATGACAACAACCTCGACCTGTCTTGCATTAAGCGCGGGCAGCTCGGGCGCGAGCTTTGCAACGGTGCCCGCTTGTGGTCGTCTTGGTGCTTGAGAGCAACGATTGCGCGCCACGCAGATGCCCGGTGTCCAGTGCGTTTGATGTGCGGTTCTTGCCCAACGGCACAGGTGCCGAACTCGACTGATATTTCCATGCCAAACGGAGCTTGAACTATGGGCGCCACGAACCGAGCAGTAAATGCGAGAGAGCACAGCCACAATGTGTTCTGTGTATTTGGCGGCACATACGCCATAATCGACTGCCACATACATGCTCGAGAGAGTTCGGGAGTGATCCTGCAGGAAGTGCATGCGGAAAAAGTCGATGTTGAGGATCTCTCGCAAAGTCGTCCGTTGGATCTAGTGGGACCTGTTCTTTCGAGCACAAGGTAACCGTCATTTGTAGGTGTCGACCTGCATATATTCATGTCAAATCTCCTGTGGGAATGACGCTTGGGGATCTGGAAACGATCTCCGCTGTGGCAGTTCAAGGCGCACGACTTCATGACAAGCATCTTTGACGCGTCATCATATTGCACAGATTGTAGAACGGGCGTTCATCATGTTTCATTCGATGTGCAAGATGTCAAGTTCTTCTGAGACGGAAGAAGCGCTAGGTCAGTGATCGGACCGCTCGGCAGTGCGTGATAGAACAATTCCCGAGAACCCCGTGTGGCTTGAGTAACGGACGAGCACGCAGCGTGCTCGAGGTACGTCGATGAGTCCTGCAAGCCAAATATATGTTGATCTATCATGTCGGATATATGCCCTCTTCCATGTGGTTCCGGAGCAGCTGGAACGTAGTGCGCGTTTGATCGGTAGGGTCGACAGCGTTCCATAAGCAAATTGGATATTGGAATGGATGATGGTTGAGCATAATATAAATACTTTATCACAGTTCATCCCATTCGTGGTCGATTCCAATGCTCATGACGTACACTCTCATAGAAGCAGCGTGGCTTATGAGAGTGTCCAATTGAGAGCCTTCGAAATTTGCTACTCCATCATGATGATTGAGGTAAAAGTTGAAAGACTACCAAGATCCGAGGATGTTATGAAGCCAACGTGGCGTTCAGGCAGCTTTATATCTTGCTGAGCATGGTGGCACCTTTCTGGAAATTCGAGTCCGAGTAACTGCATGCACGACCTGTCAGCAGTATACTCGGAAGACAACCCCCAGGGCTACACTTACGGGCCATGCCTTCGAGCACGTCCTTCACCTTGTCCCTATATCTTGCCTTTACAGATGCGTTGAAAAACATCCTGGTGAAAAGGAGGGCCGTTCGTGAGATACACGGAGAACGGAATGCAAGCTCCGAAAAATATAAGAATGACTCGCGGGGGCGTCAGTGATGGTCTCTTGCGTGCCAGTGTGTACGAAAGTAATTGTGATCAGTGCCTTGATCCCGAGATATCGCAGGTCTTTATTCGAGCAATGACTAACGAAAACCAAGCCTGCATACATGTGGCTTAGTTCGATATCAGAAGGCGTCTTGGAACGAAGTGGTTGCACTGGGGATATGTTGTTCGCACTGATTTGAGTGGGAAAGTACGTACTAGGTTCCATTTTCGCCAACCTGACAAAATGCATTGTCGTGGCTCATTCATATGGAAGCGTCATTCAGCGAGTCACGTACTGCGCCATTGGATTTTGGCAGACTCATGAGGAATGGCTTCCGCTTTGGCATTGATTTAGTCGCCCGCTCGTTCCACAGTGTGCACTTCAGAAGCTCGTTGTGAAGTCGATCCATGTTTGTCAACATCTCTACATGCGGCGATGGCATTATTCTAGGGCCACAAGATGGTGCCTTGGGTGTATGGGAAGTGGGTCAAAACTTGAGCTTCTCCAGAATGGTGTTAATGGCTGTCAGCTTAGAGAGACGCGATGATATTATGAACGGCGGCGATGTGCTGGCGGGGAACGTTACAGAGGAGGGTATTGGAGCGGCGATGCGCAAATCGATCAACTATACGTGGACTCGGCTCGTTGATGATGAGTAGAAGTTGTGAGCCCGAAAAGGCGCGGCAGAAGAATGCTTTTCTGGCAGTGATGACGTGGAGACCGCGGCGACACGGTATGGGTGGAGTAACGGCCAAGGGCAACTTGTTGAGCGGGCCGAACATTATTTCGAAGCTGATTTGGAGGTTGACGAGATGGGGTCGGAGATGGGCAGCAATCTGCATGAGTACATGAGACGCGGGTTTGTTGGGACCAAAACATGACATACCGCTAGATCGATCCCCTGCACGGCGCGGACACCGTCACTGGAGGCGGTAGCACAAATGGTATAGGGCGCGGTGGAGAGGGCAATCGCGTCATCGGCGAGAGTGGTGTGAGTTGGAAGGCATTTAGTACACACGGTGGGAGTACACAAGTCGCAGAAAACGTACATGACGATGAAGACGTCGCTTTTGTAGCGGTTGTTCCAATGCTGTCATAACATTCTCCGTGGAACTCAAACTATCGAGTCACTGTGACCTTGATGAGGACGAGCCGGTCGTTGGCGGCGCCGTATTACTGCAGCACATGTCAGGCCAGTAAGAGCGACTTGGACGGGTTCTTCCGGCGTTTGCTTCCACCTGAAAAATGCGCGTCAGAACGCGCGTGTGTAATGAGCTGGCGTCATACGGACGGTCGGCGATGATGGGGTTGATCGGGTGCACTGGACCACATGTGTGTATTCGTGGTGCCGTAGTATGTGCCGTTGGGAGACTTGTGGGTGGGCAGGGCGCTGGGCAATTGCTGCCAGCTGTAGTGGCGTGACTCGAATGCAGGTGAATCGGATGAGAATCAAGACAGCCCGCAGTGCAGTGTGTGTGGATTGAGTTGATGGCGGATGCTCATATGTTCCGCGAGGCTACTCAGTCGAGGAGCGGTTCGACAGACTCACAACCTTGAGAAGCGACCAGAGACATGGAATTAAAATTACTATTAGCAAGTCCCATATGAACATCCAAGCGAGGAGCAACGCACTTTGAGGCTATCGTCGTCATCCAATATGAAGATGACGACTCCGTCGCAAAGGCCCGCGTCGTCACGTTATCGTGACGCGCGCAGGCAGTTGTATGTATCATAAAAAAGACGGTGTATTAATAGCGTTGGATGGGGATTGGCTTCGCGGAACAGGTACCAGGTCGACAATGAATGATGAGTAGTGAACAGGCTGTCAGGAGCCTCGCTGAGTTCTAGCGGACGGCGGCGCACGGTCCGAGCCGCAGATACGACACGACACTAGCGTGTCATAAGCGTGGTAATCAGGCGATCGCGGGATCGTGGGTTCAATCCACTATAAAGCGGAAATCTCAGTCTTTATGCATCTGGTTTATGTACGGCTTGTCTTTCGAGACGGTGTTATACGGTTTCTCGGACTGCCCTTGTCAGCGTGTCGTCAACGACGCTTAACCGTGCCTATTCGCAGTAAGCCATAACGACTGCATCGCACGGTTCAGGTACATCAAGATACAAACCGCCGGCAAACCGTGCTTGATCCATCGTAGAGAGTGGATGAAGCTCAAAAAGTGATACATCGGGCTACGCAGATCGGACAGTGACTGGGAAAATACTTGGTGTGGATATGCTGGTATCCTTCGGCATATTGCTACGAACGTCGTGAAAAACATCACGAAGGTCCATTGCCGTAGGATGGTAAGTCTAATATGCAGTAACGAACTCCCAGTATGTAAAACCCATTCTACTCAGCTTCAAGACCGTAAAAAGCAACACCCAATCTATCTACTATGCTCTCAACACTCCTCCCACCCATGTTATCCAGGTCCCCGTGCATACTCCCCTCCTGAACCGCATCCCCAAACTACTCTAGTACCACGTACCCTCCTGAATCGGAGGATACCGACCGTTATAGAACCCCTGACCCGGCGTTCCAAACGCCGGTGCACCGAATACATGCATTCCCGATGGCACACCACCCGCAACCATCCCCCGCGACACCCCATGCCTACCAAATGGAGCAACAGCAGAACTCACTTTCGCCTCATGAGGAACCGTCTCAAGCAAACTTGCCAACCGGACCGTTTCTAGCTTGATCGCCCGGCCCTCCTCCCCGTCCAACACATCCAACAGCCTGCTCAACTCCGCGTTCATGATACGTACCATCACTCTCACTCGTTCCTTGGGAAGCGCCTCCACATCGCCGAGAGGGATAGTGAAGCTTGTGTCATTGGCGGGAGGCTTGCAGTAAGAATAGGTGATGAGATACGTAACGCCGATCGGGATAGCGTAGGTGAGGATGCGAGCGATGCTGAGGCCGAGGCCGAGCATCGACAGCAGGGATGGGAAAGCGATGATAGCTAGGATGGCGCAGAGGATGGCGAGGACGGTCGTCTTGGGGGCCTTCATGAGGCTGGTGAAGAAGCTGAACTTGTACTCCCATGCTTTCTCTAGACAGAATCTGACGATCATGGCGACGACGCTCGTGAAAGTCGTCTTGGGTTGGACTGCCGAGGCGTCTGGCAGCTCAACAGTCTCCGCAATGTCCTCAGGAAATGTACCTGGAGATGGGCTGTTGTGTTTGTGGAACGCAGTTGATGGCACGACTTGTTCGACGGAAGCAGGCGTATCGACTTGTTGCATCTCGCGCTGTTCGGTGAAGATAGACGGTGATTTGGGTCTGGTCGGCAAAGTAGTCGGTTTGTTCAGCCAAGTAGATGCTGCAGGGGACTGGATATCCATGTTCCCGAGTAGGATGAGGTCGGTGTCAATATTGGGAGAAAGAGTTGGTTATGTGGTATCATTCACGAAGTGTAGCGGACCTTATAAGTATCCGCATTATGCAGTGCAAACGATGACGAACTGCGTCCAGGTGACAGCCCGTTGTCTTCAATCTCACAACCCATGCGAAACAGGTGGTAATTGTCCGGAAAGCAAACGAAACATGATGGTTCCTATACAAGACACAAAGGTGTACTAGTCTAGTCAGTGCACGACAAGCAAGGTCCACGCAATCAGTAGACAGAGACATCGGTATTCGGGTAAAGAAGTCTAAGCAGTCGTAGTTGAATGTCAACGCAACATCTTGATATGGCTAACAGTTTATTCATCGATAGCCTTTCGGCGTGAAGAAGCTGGCCTCGTCAACATTTCGTACACGGCCTAAGTAGACTGCTGAATTTGGGATTTCTCTTTGATAGCTCTTCTCGCGTGAAACGCTTTCGAGGTTGGCGGAGTATCATGGTAGGTGGAAGTCGAGATTGGAATCAATCCAGGTTGTTCTAGGTATTTTGCGAGTTTACTGGATGATTGTCGGTGGAGTCTTGATGGGCATGAACGTCAAAGAAGTATTACCGGTGCCTATCTTTTGACCATCGTTCTCAACGCGCCGGCTTCGAATAGCTCGCGTTGGACGCAAGCAAATACAAGTGATGAGATGACTTTGTCGCCGTAATCTGTTATCACCACAGCTTATAGATGAAAGCGTTCGAGCGGCAGTAAATTCATGATTGATAGATTAAATTGTATGAGTTTTCGAGCACGAGACCAACTATGTCGCCATTGAAAAATGAGATCGCTGGGGCATTACATGATGTTTATCACACCTTACTGGTCTCAGTATCGTATTGCAATCAACCAAAGACAGGAAACCACAAGAGTGAAGAAATTAACAGCCTACCAAGATAGCCTGCATACCATTGTACAATCTACTCACAAATGCCTACGCCTGGCAATATGTTCTTGCTCATCACCACCCAATCGCATCCCCATCTGCCACGAGGACAGCAAATCGCCATCCAACCGATCTGCCAATGTGCGGAATCTACAAGAGATTGCCTGCGCTCCGCTCGATCTCCTCGATCACTCCCCTACCATCCATCTCGTTGTTTTCCGTGCATGCTCGTGGATGGAAAGCCTGTCGAAGTCGGTTGTGTAGGGAAGTTCTTGAGATGTGTCGTCATGCCTGTAGGCTAGTGAGCGGATCGATACGGTACGGTCCGGATGTACGGAAGCGGGAGCTAGGCTAGTGGACTCTTGAGCTGTGGTAGCAGTAGTAAGAGTCCAACGGGGAGGAGTATATACAGAGCTTCTGCGGTGCGTGGGCGCGAGACGAAATGGAATGCAGCATAGGAGAGAGAAGCTGGACACCCATAATAGAAGGTCGCTCAGCGTTGTGGGAGCAAGGATTCAACATGGTTCAGCTTGATCAGTCTTCTATATTGCAACACGGCGCAATGGCGATTCCAGCACTGGATGCTACAGTCTATTCAGAGCCAGTGCTCCGTCGCAGTTGTTGAGTCAGGATGGAGTTGAACATGGTTTCTTTTGAACAGTCGCGCCACACAACTCCATCTCGACGTCGTATCCCTTTTCTTGTCGCCGATCTCCTCGGAGCAAAACCTCGGCTAGGCGGTGATGGTGTAGAATGATGTAGGTAGTTGTCAGTGGCATGCACTCGCTTGAGTTGAGGGTGGCCGTAAGGAGCGGGTAGTGGGTGTCTAGTGCTCCCAATTTCGTGCTCAATCAAATAAGGTCGTGGTCATGTGCCGCAGGCGGTGCAGCTAGTGCGGTGTTGATGTATTCGGGCGTCTCTCGCGAAGCTGGAAGCGGAACACGAAGTCGGTGTCCAAGCCAGCATCCCACTACAACACGACCACAACGCTGCATGTGCACAAGATGAGAAACGAGCAGGAAATATGGGAAGAACCGCACGAGAAATTGCGCTTTTAATAGTTCTATCGATCTACGTTGTTCTATCATTTTGAGCCCCTACACCGAAACCGCACAATAGCCTTCCCGAGCCCTGACCAAGCCTGCATCTACTCCTCCAACGCATCACCCACAATCCTCGCTTCGATCCAGTCCACAAGCCGCTCCACCTGCTCGCCCACCCTCGATACGCCCTCATCCTGCGCGAGTCCGCCCCCCTCAGCGTCTTCATCATTCAACCACGCCACCCCCTCTCTCGCCGCCACCGAACGGCGACTCAACCCCTGCACGATCGCGCTCTCGCTGAAATGCGGCAGCAAATGCAACAACACGCCACACCCGACCTCCCTCGCCAAAAACGCATACGCAGATGCCGTGTGTCTGAGCGCGTTGAACCACGCCAGCACCTCCTGCTTCTGCATCCCCTCTCCTTCCGCATCTGCGTCGCCTGCTGACGGCCCGCGAAAATAAGTCTCGTAGAAAGCATGCAAATCCCCCTCCGTGAGGCGCGGCTTGGCCTTCGCATTCAGCCGTGCCGCCTTTCCATGCTTCGCCGTGCGAGACGTCTTGACAGCTTCGATGACCCTCTGCCACGCCAGCGTCAGGATCGCCCATCGCATTTTGTCCGCCACCATGCGACTCCCGATCCGGCGCGAGTACATGTACACTTCCCTCGCTCCTCCGCCGCGTCCATCACGACCAAGAGCAAGCACGGCCTTGGTGTCCTCACCATCGGCGAAGAACTCCTCGGGCGACCGTTGCAACATATTCGCATACTCGGTCGGCAAATGACACAGGAGCCGAAGGCCGAGGAACCGCATGTGGCCCCAGAACTTGGCGGCGTGGTACGACATGTCTCCTTCGCCCGGCTTCTTCTGCGCTCTGACAGCAGCATCCGTGCAGGAAGAGGGAGATTCGCTTGTGCCCGCCAGCACCTTTGCGCCTTCCTCGACGTACGGACGGAACTTTTGCATGTTGAGCCAGAGTTGGCGCGGAGGCGCGAAGTTTCCGTCAGGCAGGAGGTAGGCTTCTACAAGCGAGGAGAGGGCTGTGTCGAGGAGGGCGGGCGATGAGAGCGTGTCGAGGAAGACGGCTGTGTTTTCTTCGGATGAAGAAGGACACGGAGACGGAGACGGGCATGGAGATGGCGATGGATGATTGGGTGTAGACAGGGAAGAGCGCCGGGGGCTCGTAGAACGAGGGGCATCCCGTATCTTGGGATTCTGGGGCGATGGAGAAGGCGTGAGTGGAGCAGCGCCCGGGGACAGGCATGCAGACGCCGTGCCCTGCCTGTCGATAGTGTTGGCTACTCGATTCTCAAAACCAGACCATTGCGAGAGGCCCAGTTTGAGCTTCTTGGTGGCTGATGATAGTTCTGGGGTAACGGGGCGGCCGACATACTCGGTTTCTTGCTGGGTCTTGCGCTTTCGAGCCATGGTTCGTTGCCTTTGTGGAATGAATGAATGATGATTGTGTGATGGTGTGACTTGTTCTGCCTGTGAAGACGTTGAAATATAAGCTCTTGTCAGGGTCATCGCCGAACTACACACTTGCCTCGATCTACACCAGAAAGACATGTACATGTTTCGCAATCAAAGTCAGTCATTCAGTCAAAACTTCCCCACACTAACGGCATAATGTTTCATCCCAGTCATTCAGATGAGCAAGCCAACTCACCCCGAACATCCAAACTGAAGCTGACTAGACAATCTACCTGTACACACAAACACCCGCCGCGGCAAAATTTCACGCACTCTCGTCAAAGCCACATTATGGGAACTTCACAAGCGAGATACGTACACAATGAGCTAGCGAGCTACCAGGCCTTGCATCGAAAAACCTCAGTCTCACACCGTAGAGCAGACTACGAAAGTCGCTAACAAGCATGTCTCTCGAAAATGGCGTTGGTGGTAAATCGCATTCATTGAGGTTGTGATGATCGTGATCATGACCCGGAGGTTTGCTTGCTTCACCGACCGACTAATGCACCGGCAAACAATCCGCATCATGTTGTGTTGTGTTGTGTCTTTACTCTCCTACCTCCACAAACACTCTAACGAGTCTTACTCACTGTTGATCTTGTCTTGGCGTTTCCTTCTTTGCTGCCACAAAGACACAGACACAGACATACACAGTTTGTGTTGAACGCCACGGCACGGACGCTCCACTACCATCGCTCAGACAAACCCTCTACGCAAGACATTCCCAAAACCAGCCGTTCGATCTACCCACCCACAGAAACACACATCGCTCCCAAACCCCGCAAGACAAGCCATCCTCAACTCCATCGCCAAACTCCCCCACCAGCTCTCTCCTTCCCCTCCCCCGTTTCCCTAGCACAGAACATGCCCCCCACAACCCGCCAACTGGTCACCGCACTTCTCACCTGGACGCTCCTACTCGTCTGTCTCGCGCTGTCCACTTACTTCGTATACGCCTCGCTCAAAGCTCCAGTCTTGCCCCCCAACGAGGTAGAAGTCATCGTCGAGAAAGAAGCAGAAGTCATCGCCGAGAAAGAAGCAGAAGTCGTTGCCCAGAAAGAAGCAGCGTGGCTAGGCACACAGGTCGGCGCGTACACACTTGGGGCTCAGAGAGCAACGGGAGAAGCGTGGCCGCCGCGAGCCGAGTTGTAACTATATCATGCCGCCTAACACACGCTCCACGCACCGCCCCTCGACCTCAGCCGTCAACTGGCCTCCACCGCATCGCTACCAAATTAGCCGGAAGAAAAAGCCCAAGAAACCCAGACTCAACGATATGCCACCACCTCCACCACCACCACGCCATGACTCATCCTCATCAATTCTATCCACCATGCACGTACGTGACATCGCCCTGCCGTCCGTCGAGACTCAGTCCAACCCCGCCGACGACCATCCATCCCGCACGTTGAAACGGCCCGCGAGTCTCTTCCTACAGGGCCTCGGTGCGGAGGGTCGTCGCGTGCGCCGTCTGACTGCAGCATCGAGGGGCGGCTCCGAGCGTGGTGACAGCGTGTGTGTGAGTGCGAATGTTTCGCGGCGCGTGACGCCTGCGGGTGGTCAGCGGGTGCGGGATTGGAAGGCGAGACTGGAGAGTGTGGGGAGAGAGGGGAGACTGCAGGTTGATGTTAGGAGGTTGGGTGTTTCTATGTCTGTTGCGAGGGGGGGTTTGGTTGGACTTCCTATATCGTCGCCTGGAGTTGGTACATCATCACCTGGATTTCCTACATCATCATCTGGACTTCCCACATCATCATCTGGACTTCCCACAGCGTTGCCGATACTTCCTACACCGTCACCAGCACCAGTTCTTCCATCACCAGTCCTTCCCACAACACCACCCCCCAGCGACCACTCAGCCCACATCACCGAGCAAATCCAACCCATCCTCCACGCCGAACTCGAGAAGCGGAACAAGCCCCAATCTGCAGACAACAACCTCATCAACACATTGAAAGCCGAGTTGAAGCCGATGATCACAGACATGCTGAACCACCAACGGGTCCAACTCTCACAAGACCGTTTCCGCGAGTTCCAACACGCGAGGAAAGTGCTGGGTCAGGATCGTGTGAAAGACATGCGCCAGGAGATGCAGGCTCTCGGTCAGAGTCAAGAGGTGTGCTTTCAGTCATTTGGTCAAAGTCAAGAATCCCGCTTTCAGTCGCTGAAACAACACCATGAAGCGAGTAACCAGTCGTTGGGCCGGTGGATGCAGGATGGAGTCAAGTTTGCTGTGCATTCGGGGGTGGCTGATATCCGTGCGGGTCATACTGAGGCGCTGGAGGTGCTTGCAAAGAAGATGGAGAGTGATCGTGGGACGGGCGTCGTTCATGACATTGCGCCAGTGCAGGATGGAAATCATGAGAGGGTGGTGCTGAATCCAGACTTGCCGGCGGCTTGGACGACAGCAATCCAAGCGAAAGTCGGCGAAACCATTGCAGCGCACTTGGCGTCTGCCATGGACTTGAATCGACCTGATGCATGGCCGGCCCAAGCCAAGTCGATGATGGAGAGTGTGCTCGAGACAGGGCTAAAAGCGCAGTTTGAGGAGCAGTTCGCAGCCTCAGGCCTTGGCCGAACGGTCATTTCAGATGCTGTACAGCAGATCACCGCAGAGGCGAGCCACTCCTTTCACACCATCTCAGCGGACTATCGTCGGAAGATGGACACAGAGAAGAACGAGGCCGAGGAAAACATGTCCAGCCTGGCGACGCAACTCGCCGACCTCGCTCGCGAAGAAGCCGCCATGGCCGACAAAGACGCACAAATGCAAAACGACGCCCGACAGCACCACGACGACATGAAGAAAGCATACGACGAACTGCTCACCCGCAGCACCACGACACACACAGAGCTGGAGCAGACGCGCAAAGAACGCGACACGGCCAAACAATGCGCTGACTCTCTCGAGACAGCTCAACACGAGACGCGGCTAGAACTCGCCGACCGAAAGGGACAGATTGTGGCGATGCAGATGGACATTGTAGCAGCACAGGTGGAGAAACAAATTGCCGAGGAGGATGTGGAGAGTCTGCAGAGGCGTTTTGAGGAGATGTCGCGAAGGTGTAAGGAGATGGAGAGAGGGAAGGCGCTGGTGATGCAGCAGATTGACATGTTTGGGGATGTTGGTGAGGATGGTGGGAGTAGTGAGGATGGGCGAGAAGGGAGTGAAGTTGAGGACGTTGAGATGACCGAGGACGGTGAGACGATTGAGGACGGTGAGACGATTGAGGACG